CGACGTTGCACTATCACCAAAATGCGACTTTTATAAAAATGGCGATGGTAGCGAGGAATTCTCTCGACCAAGTTTTGTGGTGGAATGTAGTTAGAGTACAGGGAATAGTGAACCCGGTCGATGGCGAAACTCATGCAGCACTCCAAGCGGTCCAACAAGCGGCTAATCATGGATGGCCCGATATTATGGTGGAAGGCCACAATTTACGGGTTATCAAATCTATCCAGGAAGATGAGAGCTCCCTCACTTCTTACGGAGCCTATCTCGAAGACATTAAAATTCTTGCCATTAGTTTTCGTAGTTGTTCTTTCTCATTTGTAAATCGTGGTTTCAACCAACTCGCTCATTCTATTGCTACCTCTTCAGTTTTGGATCGTATGGAAGGAAATTATCTTCCTTCTAGTTAGGCTGGTTAGCCTAATAAATTTCGTTTTGTTCAAAATAAAAATAAAAATTCGAATGTTTAAAAAGTAGTGAGGAAAAAATAGCCCTTTTGAGCCCTTAACATGTTGAAAAGATTAATCAATTTTAATACAGTTTTGGGCCAATCGGCCCGTTTTGTTTAGGCCCGAGGCAGTTGCCCCCATTTGCAATTGAATCATCCGGCTGTAAAAGCAAACAAAAATACATACATGATACTAGTCACTAATTATAATATTAAATAATATTAAAGCACTAAGCAACACATAAATAATGTAAAATATCATTTCACACTATATATAAAAAGAAATATGAAGCCTTAATATTTTTGTCTTCCATTTTATTTGGTCAAATTAATTAAGGAGCATTACAATTAGGATATAAATAAAATAAAGACAATGACACCTAATTGAGTATGTCATTCCTACATCGAAGATGGAGATACAATGCATCATGTATCATTTATTTTGTACCATCTATAACATTTTTTTTTATTGTAGATAAATTAAACTTGTAATAAATAGACTATTAATATAATATAGGACTTAGATGGTATTTGCATTTTTTTTAAGTTGATGGCTTGAAGCTAATAGTTTTTATACACATTGAGATAATTATTTATTCCTAAAAGTTAGTGTTTGCAAATATCTTCATTTTTTTACTTTAAATATATAGTCAACTCAAAAGGATAATTCAAAGGGTGTTGTTGGGCTAAATACCTACACTCAAATACATGTATCGCAAAAAAATAGTAATAGTGGACTCGTAAGAGTTGGATGTCGACCCCACATGGAATACTCAAATTACATAATCCTAAGTACCAAATTCTAATAATTATGATTTTATGCAGCATATGCAAGATTGTCAAATTTAATCCAACTAAATAATTAAACTAATTGTGAAAGCAAATAATTACGAGAAAAATATCAATAAAAACGGACCTAGGATTTTATCTTCCCCCTATGTGGTAATTCATCACCCAATTAAACATCTGTCATGCAAGCTACAATTTATGATTACTAACCTGAGACACTAAATTACCCATAACTCGTTGTCGCGTGTATTATAAGTCTATTATTCATAAACAGTTCACTATATGTCTATGCAAACCAATTACGAATAAAGCATTAACTAAGAAATCTCGTAAACGACTACCTAAGGTGTTATCCGTATGTCTACGATAACCCATGCAATTAAAAACACACTAATCTGGTGAAATTCTACTCGAAGGCTCTTCTATCATTGTTTTAATTATTAAAACGACATGTCAGATAGCAACATAAATTAGCTAGGTTCGTGCACTAAATAAGATCAGATAGAAGAAATAATCATGGAATTTAAACTTGCATAATATTAGAAAATAGGTTCGAATTGCCACATAGGGTTCTAATAAAATCCTATATTAAAAATTTAGCTACTCGTAATTCTTATGATAAACAAAATAGAATAAATAAAATAAATAAGAAAAACTATGCACGAGTCTTCGTTCTTCGCGCTTTGTGGTGGTAAAATTCCGTGCTTATGGTGTAGAGATTTGTTGCTTTTATAGGCTTTTCTTGTTAAGAAAGTAGTGAAAATCTAATAGAAATCAATTTCCACCACTTTTCCCCATCAGAATTTGCTCTTCGATTTTGGCCATGTTGGAGTGCGAATTTTGGAATGTTGCATGAAATAAGAAATGTAGCCCTTAAAATTAGATTTCCAATATGCTCTAAATGGTGGACACTGTCAAAGCTGTGGCGAGATTCTTTTTTTTCCAATTTGATTTATTTCCCTATTTGCAAATTTTTCTTTTCTTTTTGATCATTTTTTTCCTTTATGAACACTTAATTCTCATTCTCGTTTTTCACCTTAAACACAAAATCAATCAATTAAAGTCACTTAAAGTAAACGTATTAAGCGTAAAATATACACTCAATAGGCGCCCACAATTTTATTTCCATGCCAAAGTAATTACAGAAACGCGAAACACTTTTTTTCTCAAAAGAAATAAATTTTACCTTTTTTTTGCTGTCTATCAGAATTTCGTCGGTGATAAAAAATAGATTTATGAATGGTTTCCCGGAAGGGAAAGACTCCGGGAAAGTGGGGGGATGGGGGTGGAGGTGGGGTCACGGTGGTGGTGGGTGGCTGTGGCTGTGGCTGTGGCTGTAACTTTTTGTTACCATCTATGGGCTGCTATGCAGTTTCACGTATCTAGCACGCGCCACTTGTCTTGCCTAAAAGTAAATCAAATTTGTTTTATCAAAACATAATAAAGCATGACCGTGATTCAAACTGAACAAAATATTTGAATTGGACTAGAGAATCTTAGTAACTAAAGAAAAAATAAATTCACAATATAGTGGAGTTTATATTGTTTAATTAATAATATAAAATAAATTCATCTAATTAACACGTTTAAATAATATTGATTTCAAATTCTTAACTCCAAATCTTTAATTTCCATAGAAATGCAACTTTAAATCCTTCATATAGTATCTCAATTAGATATCTTACAAGGAGGAGTTAATGCAAAATTTACATTAATTATTAGTTTAAATAAACATTAGATTTTTTTCGTGGAAACATATAAAACAGCTCCATCTCGTGACTCAAGACACAATTTCGTAGGGCATAAATTTTCATGAACGATATGTCTATCCTATGAGTATTTGTCTAAGTATTATGTTACATTCTATTTTTCTCATTTTATTTGTCGTTTTGAGCTTAATCACACGTATTGAGAAAACTAATAAATGTGCACGGATTCTGAAAAAAAAAATATATAATAAAATGACTAAATAATCACTTTTATTAATTACTTCACCTAATTTTATTAAGAGTAGTAAGGACAAACATGAGAAAAATATAATAAATACTTCATTAGGAATTCAAAGTGACAACTATTTTAAAATAAAAAAAAAATTGTAGAAAGACAAATAAAATAGGAAATAACGAGTACTATTTATCGGAATATAAACTCTTAGAAATAAAAGTAAGCCAGGAGAGTAAAAGTTAGGAAAAGTGTTTGCCTCTACCCAAACTCAATTATGGTCATATCTTAGGGACGTAAAGCTAAATTTCGCATAATTAATATGAGACACCGGGTTATCTTAACTCGGTCATATTTAATTATTAATGGGGTTATATAACCACATACAAAGCACACATACAAATAAATACGTATGATACTCGTTTAATTAAAAGTTAAAACACCTCAGGTGTAGCATCATGTAAACCTGATGAAAACTAGAGAGATAAATATGCAATAAACATTGGATAGATAACCTTTAGACTAAAAACGAGAAGAAAAAAAATGGTAAATTTCACTTTCCCCTTGTACTTTGGGTCAATATCACTTTACCTACTTCTATTCTTGATTGCATCGATGTGCCTTTCTGTACTCGAAAAATTGTCTCAGTGTGACCCTCGCTGCTAGTTGTCAGACATTTGTCCTTAACACCATTTGATCTAAGATTTGAAATTACAAAAACGCCACCTCTCCCAGTTTAAATAATTATTAAAAAATAATAAAAAATTGAAAAACAAAAAATTCAAGAAAACAAGAAAATATAGTCTAAGATGTCAGCCACAATTTATTATTTATTACTATTTAATTTTTTTAATTTTTCTTAATTTTTTTTTTACTTTTTTAATAATTATTTAAACTAGGAGGATGGTTTTTTTGTAATTTTCTGACTTAAATCAAACGATGTTAAGTTCAAATGGCTGAAAACTAACAGCGAGGGCCACATTGAGACAATTTTTCAAGTACATATGACAAATTAATACAATAAAGAGTATAAAATAGTAAAGTAATGTGGAGCCAAAGTACAAATGGCGAAAGTGGAACTACCCAAAAAAAATTAATTCACAAATCAGCAGCCACTTTGACACAATAATTAAGCAGCTATTTGTGTGTGTGTGTGTGTGCGGTTTTTTTTTTTTTCTTTTTTTTTGTGTCAGTTATTAAAATAATACTAGTAGTGCACACACTAGGTAGTTAGTTTACATTTCTCAAAAAAAAAAAAAAAAAAGGTAGTTAGTTTACAGTTTAATTTACACGGTGTCGCTGTAACCCCACACACAGTTTTATCTATCCTACACCCGATGAAGGTTATACCGGGTGTTTTTTTAACGTTAATCTACACATACCAATGTGGGTGTGTGTGTGTTTGTGTGTATATGAATGGTAAAGATCTACCAGTGTAGGATCTCAAAAGCCCCCCACACACAGCCCCGCACGGCGCACGGGAAATTCTATGCTACACCTGATGAATATAACCAGGCACCATAATTAATAAGATTCCCACTACGGGTTCAGTTATGGCCCAATGGGTTTTATAATTATAATTATAAAATAAATAAAAAAAGACACATGTCAAGAAAAGAGCCACCCGGTGAAAATCACCGGGTGTGCATCGTATTCCCCCGCACACATGACATCGTCATTTAATTAATTAATTAATTAATGCTTGGCAATTTCTCTAATCATCTGCTAATAAATACCCGCCTCTTCCCTTGTTCCGCATCTCTTTTATCCTAATATCATCACTTCATTCTTCTCTCTCTCTCTAACTAATCTCTCTCTCTCTCTCTCTCTCTCTCTCTAGAAATTAAATTAAATTAAGTTAAAGATAAAAAGTGTGTGTAAGTGCGCAGATGAGAATGAGCTGCAATGGTTGCCGAATCCTCCGCAAAGGCTGCGCTGAAGACTGCAGCCTCAGACCTTGCCTTCAATGGATCAAATCTTCTGAATCACAAGCCAACGCCACCCTCTTTCTCGCCAAATTCTACGGCCGCGCCGGACTTATTAACCTCATTAACGCCGGCCCCACCCATCTCCACTCTGGTTAGTACCCCACCTCCCATCTCTCTCTCTCTCTCTCTCTCTCTCTCTCTCTCTCTCTATGAAACTATTGTGCTGACATATATATATATTTTGTTGAACAGAAATTTTTAGGTCATTGCTCTATGAAGCCTGTGGAAGGATCATCGACCCGGTCCACGGCTCGCTCGGCCTGATGTGTTCCGGCAACTGGCCGCGTTGTCAGGCGGCGGTGGAGTCTGTTCTTCAAGGCGCTCCGCTCATGATGAAAGTCCCCGGCGCCAGCGACGGAGAAGAATCAGCTTCCGCCGCCGAACCCATCTTTCCTCTTCGTGGCTGCGACATCCGCCACCTCTCGAAGGACTCCTCCTCCTCCGCCGCCGCCTCCCTCCACCGCGTCCGGTCCCGGAACCGGTTCAAGCGCTCCGCCGCCTCCAAGAGCCAACTCAACTCGTTCACCGCGGCCGAGTTCATGGGCGAGTCGGAGGAGGAGGAGAAGTTCACCATCACTGGATGGGAATGCCGCGAACAAGAATTATTAGATATGAAGAATTTTAGCTATGAGGAAATGAAGAGGGCACACAGCCACGACTCGTCGGTCGAAACGGTGGAGCCCACCCTGGCGAACCGGGTTGAACAACCGGTCCGCCTTGTCAAACCGGAGCCGAGTCAGCCCTGCGAGTTAGGGCTCGAGTTGACATTGGGCATCAATCCGGTGCACCAGGCTTACATTTCTACGGTGATTGAGATTTCTGATAGCGAAAGCTGAGCAGTAAAAATACATAATTTTAATTAAGTCCCAGTTTTGGAGGAGTTGTCAACTTTTTTAATTAGGTTATAATCCTCTTTCTTTTTTTTTTTTCTTTTTTTTTTTTTGCAATTAGAGAGCATAGATAATAATATATTGTAGTAATTGCGTGATTGTGTTTAAACTGTTATAATATTATGGACTATAGCACTTAATTTATAGTATGACAAGTGTCCTAGATAGGTGTCACAATTAGACTATAGAAGTTACCAAGTAATGACATGTGTAATGGTGACTAAGGCATTCTCATACCTATAAATACTTGTATTTTATGTTGAAATGAATAATAGAAGAATACACATTTTGCTAGCATTTTTATCTCTCTACTCTCTCTCTCCTCACACACACACACTCTCTCTATCTTTCCCACTCACATTCTCTATACACACATATTATATTATATTACATTATGTATAATATTATATTAGATAATGTATATCATATATACATATATGACATCCGTATATACATATATAAATATAA